CTCGGATTCTTGAGGTTGGCTATGGCTGGGTTGGTGCACCGGGGCGCTGCACTACAGCAGGACCCTGACTTGCCAGGCAAGCTTCCGGGAACTTTGCGTGCCGGAGGCTTTCACAGAGGTGCTTGGAAGCTTTCTGGGTAGTGTCCGTTTCCTGCGTCTTACAGCGGGCTCACTCTGGTAGTTGCTGCCCAGGCACGGACCCGGAATCAGAATCATCAGGCGCCCGCCCAGAAAATGGACAGAGGCGACCAATTCAAGCGTCAAGCCGCAAGTTCACGAGTGTCTGCTCGCTGCATCTTGGATTCTGAGCCGCGAGTTGGGCCACTGTTCGGTGGAGGCTAGAAGCATAAGCAAGCAGCCTGCATGCTGCTATTGAGTGGTTGGCAAGTGCAGGTCCGTGAAGACTGTATGATGTTTGGCAGCATCTAGGGCTCCAGCGTACATCCTCATGATGTACAACCTTGACTGGGCTTAGTTTCGTTGGCGGCCTTGCCACCTGTTGCGCCATCATTGGGTCCTTGGAGCCTCTGTCCAGCGTGGCTCCTCTGGAGCTCTGCACTAAGTGCCTGCACGACTGCCCCAAACCTGAAATGCCGGGTGCAGTCATTGTAGGCTGCAAAGTCCAGAGTAGCAGAGGGCAAGAGTCGATTGCAGCCAAGTTTAGCATGTGTTCTGGGCTGGCGTAGCTGTCTCAGGCTCGTCCTGCGTGTCTGGATCATTGCTTCGCCTCCTCCCTTCCAGGTGTGCCCGGCTCCACCGTTTTTAGGCCGAAGCACCTGCTAGTCGCAGAGAGAAGTTGCTGCGCCCCTGTTGCATTGCCAACAACCATGCAGGAGGCTGGGGTTCAATCAGGCCCGTGAGCCAGGAAAGCGAGCCACTGCATGTCGGCAAAGCATAGGGGCACTCTGTGAAACAGTTCTTCTATTGCGCCTGTTGCAGCAACAGCTGTCGCATGTCGCCTTTCAGACCGGCACGGAGCTCCATTGGTCCATTTGTGGGTTTTGTTATTGAGTGAAGCGAGGGTAGGGATAGAGGGGAGCTCGGCAAGGATCCAGGCCTGAGAGGGCCAGTTCTGGATTCCAAGTGGGCAAGCAAGGTGTCTCCTCAAGACCCGCATGATCCATGCGCATCTCCAGCCTGCGCTTGCCTCCGAGGCAGTTTGAGGGGGTCCTAGCAGATGGGTCTTGCCTTCGATCCGACACAGCATAGCCTCACACTCGCATGGCCTTGGATGCCTCCGTTGCTGAAGTAAGCCGTGGCAGACAGCCTTAAACCTTTTGAGGCCCTTTGTGCTGTAGGGGACCTGAGGCCAGTTTGGATCGTTTGAGGCGGCTCCGCTGCCTTGGTCTTTTCTCTCACCTTCAGCACTCGATTTTGCTGCCCGGATTAGAGTAGCTGGTGGCTGGTTTAATGGTCTGTCCTGCCGGCAGTGGATTCAAGAACCCTGACGTTGACCTCTCGACCCGCCTGGAGTGTTTGAAATCTGGGCAGCTGGCAGGGCACTCAAAAATAGTTTCCGCGGTACCAAAAGGTTCCTGGTCCCAGTCGTTCGGGGCAGTTTGGGCATCGTTTGCCCAGAATGCTGTGACTGACAGTTCCTGAGAGTTGCTTAATGGTTCCGAGGCCATTGTTGTCACTCGCACACAAACAAGCCACTGGGTCTTGCAGTGCGGGATTTGTCAAGAGCCACGTCTTCGTCTTGTTCCTGCCATGGCGCAGATGGCCAGTTCTTGCAGAGTCTGGATATCCTCTGCTGTCAGCCCATCCGCACGCTGTGCTGCGCTTTGGTCGACTTTGGCAAGCAGGTGCCCAGCAACCGTTTTGATGCCCTCGCCTCGTTCCCCGTGAGATCTATCAGGCTTCCAACTTTCGTCCAGAGTCTCAGGACACGCGTGACGCCTAACTCCTTGGACCTGTTGGACCGAACCTTTTCTGCCTACAAAAGTCCCAGATCTTTGGGGCTGGAGGGTGTCTTTGAAACCATCCGATACTCCGCAACGCTAAAGAAGCAACAGCAAGTTTGACAGAAGACATCCCTGCGCTGCTGCAAAGTAGGGACTTTAAGGGCTACTCGCGCGTGAAGTCTGGCCTGAGGGGCCTCGGCCCTCTCTGCCATAGCCATCCATGTCGGACAGTGAGGTTTGTCAACCGGAGGAATCCTCCTTCGCTGCGTGCTGGTGCCCTTGCTATGTGAGGGTATGCCAAAGACACGCAGAGTGTGGGGTGTGAACAGAGTGCTCTAACGCTGTGAATGACTCAGAGCTCGGAGTCTCTTATGTTGAGTTTGAGATCTGCTGCGGTGCCCGAGAAGCTGAGCACCTTACTCCAATTCCTCTGCGCCCAAAGAGAAGATGGTATGAGCATGTGTGAGATATTAAGGTCTGGGGCTTGCGCTATCCCCAAAACTTCTGTTTGACGGCGAAGCTTGCCAAATGAATCGATTTGGTGAGCGAGTGCTTTCGTCAAAACTATTTCTGCAGACCTTGCCAGGCTGGCGTCAAAAATCCATAAAAATCACTAAACCCCCAGCTGGCCCCCCATTGCTAAATCCTACGGCTCAGATTTGAGGGAGGCTCTCTGGGCGCAGGATTTGGCTTTTGCTTACTCTAACCGTCGCCGCAACCCTTAAGTCCTTCAGCCATGCAGGAGGCGAAACTCCCTAAAACCTAAGTTTGAAGGACGAGGCGAGGGCGCGGCGAAATCATCGCTGGTCATGCTAAGGAGCTTTGGCCTCACCATCATCGTCTTCGCAGTCAGAGTCTGGTCTCTCAAATGGAGGAATCCTCCTTGGTCGCATTCTCGGGGCCGCCAGCTGAGGATATGCAAGGGGCAAGGAATTGAGAGAAGTACACTCTTTTCAACACAGGGATCGTGTGTGCACACGAGGCACAAGGTCAGTCGGGGATCCCCTCTTGAGACATCCCACTGCCGCCTCGGTTCTGTAGATGCGTTGGACTTCGACTGTTGTTGGTGATCGTGCTGTTGCGGACTTTTGTTCGTAAAGCTGGGGTCCTTACGGGAGGACGGACCTACGGATGGCCGCCTCCGAGATGTGCTGAACAGCAGAGACGGGCTTTTCTCTGTGCCAATAGCCGTGGTACGCGCTGTGTTGCGGACTTGTGTGTATCAATGCAGCTTGCATCGTCCCCCACTTCCCGGCAGATAAGGACTGGATTCTCAGAGCCGAGACTTCAAGGCTCCGTCGCGGTGCCAGAGCGAAGATCTGGCTGCGGGAGGCTCAGAAGTGTCGCTGCAGTAGCTGCAAAAGGAAGTGAAAGGCAGGGACAATCCTCAAAAATGGAAACTGAAATGGGGGCACCCCGACATAGCAGGAAGTACATATGTCAGTGGACCCATGCTCGACCTGCACACAGAACTTGCCTGGGTATGGCTTAAATTAAGTGGTGCTTTGTACAAAGTGCTGAAAGCCCTTTATTTCTGAAGCCGACCCTGCCGCGCTGTTGTCATGGCACGCTCCAACTTTCCGCTGTAACAGCTCCAGCAGGCATTGAAACACCGGGACAATGCTTGGTGAGTTTCAACCGCGTCCCCTTCATGTGCAACTTCCAAGGAGTATGGCTCACAGGGAACATGAGAAGACTTCTCCAAGTCTCGAACATAGCCCTCCCCTGAAGTGGAAAAACAGGCTAGCTGCGGCTAGCGGCACAACGTGCAGGAGTTGTTTGGAGAGAGCTCAGCTCACCAACTGGTACTGAACAAGCGTTTCCACTACCACCCCGCCCTGAAAATTGTAGAACGGAGGGAGGTACCCAGTTGCAACTCAACATGTTCCGCAATGTCCGCTTTGCTGACACGAGGGGTTGTTGGGCTGAATGCGGCAAAAGTTGCATTCTGCAATTTGGTCCCCCACACTCCTCGAAGGTAGGGGGAATGTTTCGCTCCATGCTGAGAACCCGGGTGGTTGAATCCAAGTCTCTGAGAGGCTCCGTAGCGGCTGGGAGGCTCAGAGGTCTCGCTCCAGCTGCGAGAGGCGGCAAAAGGCCCCGAGCACGGGCTTGCTATGGCAGGCTCTCTAACAGGCATCAAAAGGCAGGGACGATCATTTGTGTTTCAGCCGCGGTCCCTTTGTGCCCCTGTACACGCTTACAGGGAACATAAGGAGACTTCTCCAAGTTAGACTTCTCCAAGTCTTAAACGTAGCCCTCCCCTGAACTGGACAAACAAGCTACGTGATGGGCTTCGGACGAAACTTTGAATGCAATGAATGCAACGCACCGGCACTGGCTGTCTTGCCTCAGCGCGACCTTCAACAGGAACGCTCAGGCTTGCTGTTCCTGCGTGCGTGTGGAGTCTTCCTAAGAGTTAAGGCAGTCCCAGAGCGATGAATCTCGAGAAATTTGCTTCCGCAAGCAGCCGGGGCCACTTGCTCAAGGCCTGAGCCGCTGATGTAAGCATGGGACAATGGAACACCAGCTCCCCGACGCTTTGCCTGTGCAGGCTCCAGGATTGTGCTTGGTACCGGCTTCCCCCCGAAGTCCGAAGCCCCCAAACCCTACCTACACCTTCCACAATCTGCTTTAAACCAAGAACCAGGGTTTTAGACAATTGTTGCCAAATGTTTGGTTTCTGGATGTAAAACCGGGTTCCCAATTTTGCGGCCGGTCCCAAACCCGTGAACAACCCGTGCGAAACCCGCAAACACCCATGCGAAAGCCCTAAAACCCGCCGTGGAAAACCAGTTTTCGCCTTCTCTTGAAACCAGGTTTCCCTTTCAATAACAGGGCTTTTGAGCATAACGGCAAAGAGCAGGTTTTGCTGGGTCGGCGCATTGCCGCAGCCGCGATCAAAACGCAGAGCGTGCGCGGCTGCCTTTGCGACTGTGCGTGCCGCCGTGAACAGGGCCGTGCGGGGCCCACCATCGTTTGCACAGTTTGGAATTAGCGTAAACTTCTCAGACAGCGCCTGACCGATGCGAGTCTCCTCTCGATTAGTGTGCAACTCCTGCCCTCAGCGCGAGTCGCCCTGCGGGTTCAGGCAAGATGAGCTGGACTGCGAGATTGCAGAAGTCTTTAGCGCCTGTTTTGGGAGTCATAGCGTTGCGGAGACCAAAGCACCTCCCTCTCAAGCGCGAGCGCTTAATTGCATCAGGTGTCTCCTTGGTTGGCTTCTGGCCTCAGGCTACCGAGGAGGCAGGGCAGAAGGCACCACAAGCGGTGGGACATGCAGCCGGGCACCTTGGAAGATTAACACTGCGGCTGCCACGGGACGACACCGACGTGAGCTGCACGAGCCTCTTGTTCTCTAGGTTCGGTTCGCAGTCGCCGGCATGCCTCCAGCGCCGCATCGCATAGCTCCTCGATTCTTCGTGAATCGCAAAGCGGGCCCGAATTCGGCAGGTCTATTCAATGATCTATTCTGTCCGGTGTCCTCAATACATCATGCAGGGCTCGGGGCCATCCGACCTTGCTGCTGGCCTTGGTGCCTGCGGAGGCCTGCTTCCCTTCTGCGGGCTGGCCCATGCAGTCTGGTCAGGTTCGCCCAATTGCTTGAACCTTAAACCCTGAACAGCTGCGTGCCTCGCCTGGATTGTCCGAGTGCGAGCGCCGAAACAGCTGCGAGGGTGAGCGTCGAAAACAACAAGACCGAGTGACCCCCCAAGTAGTTCAAGGCGCACCAAGAGACCTTGTTTGGCTTGTCCGAGTTGCGAGAGCGTAAACAGCAAGACCCGAAAGCTCTAGATCCTAAATCGAGTTAATGCTACAGACTTATATCCAAGCAGACCTTGCCAGGCTTGTGCGAGTATGAGTGTCAAGAAATCCTAAATCGCATGTAGGGTTTTGGGCTGCTCGCATCTTTGCCCCGAACATCACTCTGAAAGCTGGTGGTGGGGAACGGAGCGCTCGCAGCTTTGCGGCTTGCCAGGCACGTATTGTCGCATCTGGGTTGGTGGAGGATGCAAAACCTCCTGTCACAAGGTCCTCCCCAACACGGGGTATTGTTCCCTCTGCAAGCCATGACAGCGGCCTGGTTCACGGCTGGCCGGATGGGTTCGGTTGGTCGTGTCGAAAGTGCTTGAGCGCGTTATGGCTTGGTTTCTTCTGCGTCATTCAAGATTTCTATGCAGATGCATTCTGGCAATGCAGCACTCGCCGTTGCATAGGGAAGAACGAGGTTACTTGAGTCTGACTGTCGTGCACCTGTCGGAAGTCGAGATCGCGCACTCGGGTCGATGCAACACCCTGCAATCTTCCAGCTCAAGCAGTAAATTTTGTCCAGGCAGGTGCACATTTGAGCTTGAGACGTAAACGATCATTGCTTGTAGTCTCTCGTTTGCATCCATATCTCCCTGACAGGGTGACACTTTGACAGGCATCGCTCCCTCAACAGCAGGTTGGGAAACGAAAAGGACCCGCCCATACCGCTCGCAAGCAGTCAGGCGCGTGGAATGTATCAGCAATTGAGAAGCTGTTTTCGATAATGAGGCGGGGGTCCTTTTCCTATGCACTGCATCACCACGGCTCCTCACAGGATGCGCTTTTTGCCTTCATGCTTGCGGTGGCACCTGTGACAATGTGGTAGGCATCGAGCCCCCAATGGCAGCTTGGGAAACGAGAAGGACCCGGCCATTGTCACCATCAACCTAGCCGGACCTAGCCGGCTCATGGAATGTATCCGCCGTCGAGAAGTCGTTTCGCAAAACGAGCCGAGTATCCCCGCCCAATTGCGCCAGCAGACGAGCATGTGCCGTGCCCTCCAGGTTCAAGTACTGGACTGCATAGCACGTCACTATGGACACCTGAATGTTGGGCCTTGGGCCACGTGAAGCTTGGAGGCTGTGGGCTGCTGGCATTCCGGTCTAACCCTCCCGGTGCACGCGCGCCACAGGAACAGGGTTTGTCATGCTCAACTTTCTGAGACGCAGACCGTGTGCTGTGTGGGCAGGTGTTCTCGCCACGGTAGACCACGATAGCGGTCTGCAAGTGATGCGAGTCTGGTTAGGTTCGGCTTGCTTCTCATGCAGCTCCACGCAGCATCCAGGAATCTTCGGCGCTGGAGTGTTGGCCTCTGGCTGATGGCTGCTGCAATTTCGCTTGGAGCCTCTGCTTTGCATCCTTCGACTCCCCTCTTCCAGCAAATCCCCAAAGGCTGCATTGCGCAAATTGTCAGGTCCGCATAAGCCTGAAAATCCTAAGCCCAAGCCGTTCCTTCCTTCCCAACCCTAGCACAAAGCTGCAAGCCGTTCGTGGCATCCAACAGCCACGGCCGGGACAGCTTTTGGGAAGCCGCGACCTGCCCCTGCATTTACGTGCAAGTCGCTGCCCGGCTCCATTCACTGCCCTTTGAAGCCCATGAACGTCGCCATCAACCATGGAGTACTCAAATTCATGGCTTCAGACCCTGCCTACGATCCAGCAGGGCGCTTTTCGGCCCTTGCAAAACTTGCTCTGCCTTTGGAGGAAAGTGGTCTCCTGCTTATGCTTTGTTGTTCATCTCGCTAACTGGTCCAAAGCCCGCAGACGTCCTCAGCTTGCAGTATGTGGCTACGTCATGCAGGAATTGCAAGGTTATTGCGTTGCTGTGCAGCCACGTCGAAAACATCACAACCTGTTTTCAGGGCTGGTTCCAGCCGAACTCGAAAGACGATGTTGCCGTCATTCAGCCCTGCTTCCTCGTCAGTTTTTCCAGAAGAACATCAGCCTTTCTCGGCCTTCATCGACAGGCCACCGGACCAGACACGGGTAGAGCTCCGCCTGATGTAGTCTGTCTACACGGGACCTGTGCCACTGCACGACGAGATGCTGTTTCGACGAGGGTTCCCATGTCGGGCCACGAAACCCCTTTGCTGAGCCCCCAAAACGTTCTGGAGAGGTTGGAGGACATCGGAGGACCGTCGCTGCACATCTGGGCTTTGGAAAACGTCGGCATCCAAGTCCTTGGATTCTGCGTTTTGCGCATTTCTCCGTTAACCCGGGCTCCGCAACCTGCCCAGGCGGGCTCAGGGACTGGACCAGTCGCCTGCAAAAGGGACAGTAACGCTCTTCATAGGGACTGACCCTCTGGCAAGTGACGGTCTCTTGTCTCTCGTTTCTCCCGCACAGAAGGCCCGGTCTCCAGCAGCGCAAGGGTTCCAGGCACAGAGGCTGTTTCTATCAGTTTTGACGAATCCACGGAGCGCCAAACGGATGCCATCAATGGCCTGAAACGCCTGTCTGTGCTACGGAGCATTGTAGGTCGTCAAGCACTCTGAGGCATAGGATTCGAACATATCAATTCCCTCATGTTGCCCTGCAGGAAAGTTGGTGAAACATCCATCCCACGGAATCGCATTCTCAAAGAGCAAGGCAATCGGGTCTTGGGATTGCGTCTCAACAAGGAGACACTCTTGTAAGTGACGGTCTGGAGAAGCTGGAGTAAGTGACAGTCTTCTGTCATTCTTGCATACCCAGAAGGGTCTGGTCTCCTGTAGCGCAGCCTGCGCAGCAGTTTCAGGTGCACAGGGGACATGTCTCGACGTTGACGAAGCCATGAAACCAAAGAGCACAACACCATGTTTCCCGTTTGCCTGATCCAGGCACAGGCATCGTCGAATGGCCTCAAGTTCTCGTGTTGATGAGGGAGGACGAGGGCAGCGCTTTTGCTTGGGATCACGAAAGCAGCGTCTTGATGGCACGGCCGGCGTTTCTTTGCATCCTGCGCATGAGGAAAGACCCCGGAGACCCCGTGCTGTTGACAGCTTCGCTGGAGCTGTGGCTTAGAGCAGGGGAGGTTGTAGATCGTCAAGCACTCTGAGGCATAAGGTCACAACCCTTCAATTACTTCATGTTGCCGCGATGGAATCCTGGAACGAAACGGGATAAAACATCTATCCCACTCGCATCCTCAAAGAGCAATTGTTGAAGTCAACACTGCGGAGCTCTTCACGCACTTTCGAGATAGAGAGCTCAAGCTCTTGACGGGGAGCCTTGCCGACGGGCCCGGATCGCCGAAATCTTCCGGCCAAACGCCGGAATGTTTGGGCTTCGTCCTAGGTGACTCCATGCTGATCGCTTCTTTGACTGGCCCCAGCCCTAATCCTTGCAGGTGTTCTTCATGGTTGCAAGGACTTCGGGGCTTTGCATGTTCCAGTGTGCCGAAGCCAGACTGGCCCCGATGAGCCTCGACTTTGAAGGGAGCATCTCACTCCGAGGCTTACACAGGCCATTAGGAAGCTGACGGGTACCTCAACAGGTACCCGGATGCTTTAAGCCACGGCCCTGTCATCGAAGCAGCGACTGAGGATGGGGACTTTGCTAGGCTTTAACTGGGATCCGGGACCCCCGGGACCCAAGGCACGGGTTTACTAGGAGGGTTGAAGCTTTAGGGTTCAGTGGAAATCTTCCGCAGCAGCCAGATTGCGGAGCAGGCCTTCCTCCCAGCCACCCACAGGCGCTTCAGGACTTTGTCAAGGCTCCTGAAGCCTTTCTTCTTTTGGCCAGAGGACTTTGGTTGAAGCTCAGAGGTCATTTTGCGAAGCCTCGACGTTGCTTTACCTCCTACCAAGTCTGATTCTTCCGTTTGCTCGAAGCCGTGCGAGCTTAGCTTCACGGTGCTCCAGCACTTGTCGTGCAGATCCCTGAACACCGACGTGTGTCACAGACTGGACACCTCCCTGTGTGCACCGGCCTCGCATGCCCGAAAGGGTTTTGCAATACGTGGTGATTCTGGCCTGCTGTTGCGTGCCCTTGCATAGCGAGGCCCTTGAGAATGGCACGCCAAGCCCTAGCCCCTAATCCTTTAATTTATTCAGGTTCAGTGTAGGATCGCAGAGTATGATTTTGGAGCTGGAGCCCACTTGTGAACGTATTGGATGAAAGCAGGAAGCATGGCAAGCTTGGTGCGTCTTAAAGCATGGCGATGGCAGTGAGAATCGTGCCAGCGAGGTGGCGGAAATAGTCAGGGTCTGTTCTTGCAGTGTATGTTGCGGGATGGTCGTGGGGAAATGCAGCAGTCAGATATAAGCATCAATGTCTTGTCCGAAACAGTTTATTTCGGAGGATATGTGCAGTTTGTTCCATTACATGGCATCATCCTGATTGTTCTTCTTGTGCCGAACGAGGACTTGCGAGTCGTTTTTTTTTCAGGGTCCGGAATGCTGTCGCGGAAGAACCTCCCCAATGCTTCAGCATAAGCCCCACAACCCATGGGTCAGTTCTCCTTCGGCGCAGCGAAGCATTACAGCAAACCCCCATCTTGAGAGAGAAGCTATGGTCCAATAGTAAGCTCATAAGGCCACGGAATCCTCATCGCTTCGTTGGGACGAGGGTTCCAACATCTGAAGCTGAACCGCTGCATCTTAAATTCTCATGCTACG